TATGAGACAGATAATCTGCGGGGGAAAAAATCATATTCCTGTCCCTACTATATTGCCTTGTATCCTTTCTAATGGCCTTACTGCATGAGAATGAGAACAACCAATCAGAGTCAAGGAGTCTCTGATGCAGCTGTCAGTCATGTCAGTCACTAAACTGTCAAACTCAGCAGCACTGATCAAATATGAATCAAGATTCTGTTACTGCATTGCCTTTATCTCACCTCAAATGTTTTCAGAAACATATTTCCAGTCAGGAACACTTTCATCACTATTTAACTATTTAATGCAACAACTGGAAATACAGTTATACTTGGCGCTGATGGCTCCACTCTTAAGATGCTCCCTGGATCAGACAAGCAGCATGCTAAACCAATACAGGGAGCGTGTTGCAGAACCCCACCCCCCCACCCCTCCTGCATGAACTAATGCAAAGCTTCATTTAGTGTACTTTTTATCTGTAATATCACAAAGTTCGTGACCTGGACGCCAAGTTGGATACAGTTAAACGGAAGTACTAAGCACTGCCCAACACCTGGACAAACTTTCTCATTTTATACCTAAACAGTACCCTAAAATACATAGCTATATGTAGCTTTAAAGCCAAAAAACCATAAAGGATTTATAAGGAAAATTTGCTCTTAATAAATGCTGACACAGATTGATATCTATCTGAACATCCACTGTGAATGAGACCCCGTCAGGTGCAATACATACTTGACTGTTGTCTCCTTGGAGCTTTCTCCTGAGCAGGGGATTACATCTGTCTCTGTGTATCTGAGAGCACAGGTCAGGAAACACAGAACAACACAAGGATAACAACAGCTAACCTGTGAGATGCTGAAACAGTAAAGGAGTTTGAAAGAAAACTGAAACATAGACTTTATTTTTGAATCCACAATCTATTACTTTGTCACACTGTCTCCAAGTTGAAGCCATCTCTTTTAGTTCACTCAATGGATTCTTCTCACTCCACTATGAGGTTATATGCACAGAAACATTAAGTGTTGCTGCTGTGTTAAAGGATACTGCGCTCTGCCGTACTCCAGAGTATCATCTCCATCCACATCCAGGTCTGCGTCGCTGTCTCGACACTCCTTAGAAGTCGTGCTCACCAGCACTGCACCTGAGAAGACATTGTCACAACAATCAAAATTAATTTCGATTACAGTAACTGTGGGATAGAGTTGCTTGTAAAAGCAGAAAATACAGCGACAGAGTGAGCTGTACTTATTTCTAAGGACACATTAGGGTGAATTTTGACATTACAAAATGTTACATTGCCCGTCTGCTTGTTTCTGTCAGTCAGCGTGTAACTAGTCTGCAGGTCAGAGCTTCTTCTCGGGTAAAGGAAACCGTTACTTTTAAGCTAACCTCGGAGGCATCCGGCTCCGCTGTAATCTGGACTGAAAAGTTCAGTGGTTTTTCAACTGTCACTCAGTCACATTATTCACCCTCCACTGAGCGAGATCACACACATGGGTACCACAATGGCACGCACACACACACTTAAGACACACACGGACGTATGCTTACCTTTAAACCCTCCGACTATAGACGTCATCTGCATCCTTCTCCTCTCGTTCCACTCGTCCTGCAACGGCACCAAGTCCGCTGAACCCTCCTAAAACACACATGAACATATACAATGTCACTGTCTCGGTGAATGTGTCCGTATGCCTCCTGTAGCCTCCAGCTACGTATCTGCTTCTGTGTTTTCATAGCTGTGAACCAACGCCGGCGGTGTTTTCACATGGATACACAGCAAGCTGACAGTGATCCTGATGCTATGTGAACAAAAGCAGTCAGCAGTGTCACGGGGTCTTGACCACTGACATTCTCTCAACTCTACACGTTATATACATATATACTCTTCTCTGATTACAGTATAAATGTCAAGGAAACAAATATTTTCATCTGTCCTCTAGGAGAACAATATTAAGCACACACCTGTCCGTCTTCTGGTTTCCTCCTCTTCAGCTTTCCGATCCTGACTGGGAACAGACAGAAGACAGAGATGAGATGATGATGATGATGATACTGATACTTTAAAGCAGGCTGCAGTGACTTCAGTCGACCCCTTTATGATTCTCAAACTTCACAGAAACTTATTATTATTTTATTCCTGACTGCAGATTGAAGAAGGGACCTGTTCCCTGGAGATTTTGACATGACATGTGGTCTGTGTCTTAAAATCTTAAAATCCAAATATTTTCCATGTGATAGAGAGATGTGTAGTCCTCCCACAAACAGAAAACATTAGGGAGGTCAGAAACAGGAAGTAGTTTGTAAAGGAAGTCACACAGAAGAAAGTAACGGACTAGGGAGGGTGTTGTATTTTTTTGTTTTGGCAGAAGGTTGTCTGACTTTTTTGGGGAAATCAGGAGAGCCCCCCCCCCCCTCCTTCATATATATATATTTTTTTTCAGTTTTTCTTTGTAATGCAGATAGTTGTTTTAAACTTTTTTACATTAGAAAGACAACTTTCACTTGTGATTTAAGTCTCTGCCTCTGTTTTAAGTGTTTATTAATGTTACTTTGGTGGTGCATAGCTCCATTAATTCTCCTAAGATATTATATTTAAATTGAGGTACACCTTCATTAACTGTTACATTATTTTGTTGCAGTTTTTTTCTTACTTGACATATAAAAGTAACACACATCAAGAGCTATAACGAGGTGCTGATCACTGGCAATAGACTTGATTGTAGCAAACAAGTGTCGCACACTCTGACTCCATATGCATTTCTTTTATTTTGATGAGGTTTCAGCCGTTGGGCCGTCTTCAAGATCAACAAACATGTCAGTTTTTTCTTAGTCAAAAGAAAAATAACAAGACAATAATAACCCTCAGTGCAATGTTAAGTTTTTTACTTCCTAAAATGGAACCTGTGATGAACATGAAAATGGTAGAAAAACATAATCTTCATGTTATTGTATGCTATAGTGTGATCTTCTGCTCAAAGTTAGAGATAATTTCTTTACTTTTAAGTTTCTAAATTTTCACAATATGACAATATACAACAGGGATTCCCAACGAGGGGTATTTCTGTAGTTGCTGGAAGGTATGTAAAAGACTGTGGAGTGGCTTTGCTAATTAAAAAAAAATAGAAATTTGTTTAAAAACCAATATATACTGGACTTTCGGATGAAAATAAACCTAATGTATTGATAAAGTAAAATGGTTGAAATGTCCAGCTTCTAACAATAAAACTGGAGCAGTCAATGGGAACTGTCAGGTTCCCCTGTGTAAATCCTCATTTGGACAGCTTTTTCTGTCCGTGTAATTAACATGGAATTCTTTATCTACAAAACTCAAACTGGATCCTGATTTCAATGACTTTCAACTCAAACTGAAACAGTTTTTGAAGAGGAATCAGTCATGCAGTCATGAATAATTTGGTGCTTAGTATTCTATGGTGCTAATTGTGTATCGCAGTTTGTGTCTTGTATTGTCCCATCTGTATTTTCATTGTTGTTTGTACCTTGCACTGTTACTTGTGTTCTTGTTGCTGAGTCTTTTGTATCTTAAGGCCCTGCTAGGGACAGGCATTGCAAATTAGCTTAGGCTATAAATGCTGTGGTGTGTGTCATTTATGTATTCTACATACTTGTCCCCATACAAATAAACATTAAATAAACCTGACAAAAGCTTTTGAAAAACAGAAAGTTAACACTTAACATCGATTATTGTGTCTTGTATGAGGAGAATATTGTTACAATATGAAGTTTGACATGATTTGAGACGGTGTACTTGAGCTTATCTGATAGCAACAACATTCAAAAATACCAGCCTCTTTTCTTATATGAGAAAAAAAAATGTATATGTGGATCAGCCTGAAACACAATCACATGAGTCGACCACATTCACACACAGACGCTGCAGTAAAACTACACATAAGAGCCAGAAACTACAGATATGAGCTTAATATAAACAACTGCCGTTTTTTTTTTCAGCAGTGGATCCAAATCGTCCTTCCCATCCCCACCCTGTCACCCCGCCCTCCTCCCCCCTCCTCTCCCCTCCTCTCCCCTCCTCTCCCCTCCTCTCCTCTCTGATATAAAAGTTAACATGGCAGAACACCAACTGCACCTCCTCTCCCACTGTGACCTGACTGACTGCAGATTGCATAAGGGGACATTAAGTTTTAGGGCCCTCTAATTCCCGCTGGATGACAGTGGCCCCCCGAGGTGGTGTGTGTGAGGGGGGGGGCACAGACAGACCTGGTGGCCGTGACCCGGGTGCCGCCATCGCAGCGAACATAATGAGGGTTAAAGAGACGGTCATAGATGAGGAAGAGCTCATCAAACAGAGAGAGGGAAAGCGAGAGAGAGGTTGATTAATCAACAGAGGAGCCCCCTCCTCGTCCTCCTCCTCCTCTTCGTCCTGCCTTCCTCTTTTTCCTCCCTGACATGTATTTAGAAGCTCATTATGCTGTGCTGTTATAAGGCCCAATAAAGGCTAACAGACCTCGACAGCACTGGCAGTTTGAAGAGTCAACTAAGAGCCGGAGAATCTCAGCATTAATAATAACAGTAGTAAGATGTCTGTAGTGTCAGCCGCAGCTGTGAGGACCCTCTGTGTGTCTACATGTCTGTATCAGCGCAGAGGATCCATTAGATCACTTTAGAGATGGTTGGAAAGAAAATAAACAGCTGAATTGTTGTCTTAATATTGTTTATTTATCCTTTTATGCTTGTATTAATCTTGTTTTGTAACACTTTCATAAGGGGTTTATAAGTTGTAAGTAATGGCTTTATTAATGACATTTAGATCATGATGGTGCTAATGTTCATCCCCTTTAACTTGAATGTTCTTTAGATCATCACTAAATAGATTAAGGTATCTAAAAGTCTGTAAGAGCAAGTGTCATTGGACAGTGATAAATAATAAATTATCTTTCAACCACTGATAAAACCTTAACTTATAACATAATCCCTTTATTAAAGAGCTGTATCCTCTTTACAAATCAATAGACTTGAGGCAAACCTCAGCAGCTGCTCACTGTGGTGAAACGTGATGGTGACAAAAGGTGCTTCTCGGTGTGTCTTACCAGCTTGTGTGCAGTCTAGGTGGGCTCCTGCGCTGTGGGGGCGTAATGGGGCAGATTTGACGTAGCACCTGCACCAGCAGAGGTCATCGACTGTTAACATATCAAGAGGTCAAAGTTGAAAGGTTAATAGCTCCTCTGCTCGTGTGGGCGCTAGGCCAGTGTGAGATGGTGTGGGAAAAAAGGGTGATATCTGAGCGGCGGGTGAAGGGGTGAGGAGGCGGGGGGATGGGGTGGGTTGGTGGGGTGGGGGGGGATGTTGGACGAAACACATAACTGGTCGCATCAGTGTGAACAAAAGAAACTAGAATGGCTTTTTTTTTTCTTTTCTTTTTTTTTCAAGATTTATAGCCAGACACCTGACAGAGTCTACTGCTCGGAGCTTTCTCTTAATGACAAACTGAGTCAGCAGCAATGAAACACAACATTCAGTCAGCTCTGCGTGCATCAACGTACCATTTAGTCTCGTGTGTCTGTTGGCCCGCACACGGAGAAATGTCTGCAACAAACAGAAACAACGGCATCAGAAGGGTTTAATATTTTATCAAAATCTTTCATTCACATTTCTACTGGAATAAAAAAAACAGCAGCACAGCAGATGGCAGTAAAATATTAACACACTGCATGTCTTCATATCTTTTGATTGTCGTGATTAACACTTGTTACCATGGTCACCTTTATTACAGAGCAACGATGGCAAATTCAGCGGCTTTAAAAAGTATTTTACTGACAACCTCCACCGACAGTTTCTTCATACACTTTTCCTCTTCAACTTCATTTTATATGTTTGTACTATATTTCCTGATGTATTGATTTTTTTCCTGATTTATTTGACCAGATTTAAAAGATACATGACAGACTGATCACAATGACAGACTCCAAATAAGAAATTTTACATTTTTGAGGAATAAAATACACTTCAAACATTAGGACTTCTCTCCAGTGTGGTCATCTAATGCAATACAAGATGGAAAGTAAACCAGAATGACATTAAACTTAAGAAACACAAACAGACAATATAATTTTAGGCATTTATATACCTACAAAGAATTTGAAAACCATTTTTTGAGATCTAATATCAATCTTCTCTGAACTGGGGTTTAGTGTAAGTGAGATATGCAGCTTATTCCTTTAACATGTCTGTATATAAAAAGTATTTTTCCCAAAACATGTTTTAAATCTCTTGGGAATAACATTTCTTGAGGCCTTTGCACACTGAGACCAAAAATTTGCAAGACAAGACAAATTGAAGACAAATTTCCTTCCTTGATTATTTATCTGTCACTGCTCTGTCTTCCTGTGTCTTGTATTTGGTACCAACTGTCCTCTGTCTCCACACTCTCTCTCTTTCTGTCTGTGTGTGGTCCATACACTCCTCATCATCATCATCATCATCCACCTGAATATTACTATCTGACCTGTTGAACGTGAGCTATCTGAGTTATGAAAGGATACTGTGCTCCTCTGTCTTGTAACTGATGTGTCCCACCACCACATTCTCTTCACTGATTCTTAGTCAAACGTCTCTAAAGGCTTCGACGGATGTGAAAAACGCAGAAAATCGAACCTGTTCTGCAAAATGTAATGACAACGAGGACAAAAGTTTGGGACTCAGTGTGCAAATGTGACTGACACAACATGAGGTTGTATTTATTTTTAGATGTGCAACAATTTCAGAAGAAAAAAACTGACCTAGTGTGCAAAAGCCTTTAGACGGCCTGGTGTGTGTTAGAGGCTCATATTTTACTAGATTAAAATATTTGCATAATGAGTAGGGAGGTGCAGATTTGTGCACAATCTTGTGGGAAATACAAATCTTAAATTTCCCTTTTATCCATGGGGAGAAGGTTTAATTTTTTTTTTTACAAAAAACTGGACTGAGATGTGTGCCAGGTTGACAACTTTAAAACAACTCTCATTAGCTTATTTTGTGCAGTCTGTAATTTGTTTTAAGAGACTGCGAGGAGCTACTGTATCAAAAGATACCAAACGGTAGCATAAGTGTCACAACTCCAGTGCTCCAGGTGACGTTTTTAAGGTCACTCTATCCAACGATTTGGTTTTTGCTTTGTTTGTAATTTTGTTGAGCGCTGTGATCCAGAATGACCCCAGGTAATTTACAAAGGCTTTTGAAGAAATTGATGTTGGCCCAATCTTTACCATAAAATCAGATTAAACTCTCAATTTAATTTGTGATCCAAAGAGGAGAGGCTCCTTGTTTACCATGAGAAGAAAAAGTTTGTCATCCAAGAGAAACCTTTTGGAGCCTTTGTGCTTAAGGTATTTTCCACAATGACCTGCTGTTGTTAGATACTAGGATATTAAGTTTATAAAGTCCTTTGAAACACACTTGTGTTTTTAAGTATATAAATAAAAATAACTTGACTCCTGATGAACTTATTACTTTTAAGGGGTGTGTTGTGTGTTGAGTACAGCATTTGATCAACCCTTAGACCATAAAACTGCTGAGTCACTGGCACCACAACAGACCATGGTTTTATGATGTTGCTAACTACAAGGTTACACAAAACACCTTTAGTTAAATTTTCCTTCAGTTTGGAGTTGAGGCTTTCTTTACATAAATTTGGTTGCATAAAACACTCTTATGTCTTCTATATAAGTCCTTAAAATTTTTACATAAGCATCTAAGGTTTTCTCCTTATCTTGGTTCCATACTTAAGGAATTTATATTAATCATCTTCTGTGGCGATCAGCAGTGATGTGGTTCACTTTTACACTGTGATCTGTAGCCTATAGTTCGGCTTTAGCTTCTAACTATCTTTGTCTTTTTAACCTGTTGTTGCTGCTGAGTCAGTTTGACATCCTGGATATATCCTTCAAACACAGACTGTAGACCCCTCTGTCTGCTTCTCTCTGGAATCACTGTTTCATTGTCCCAAAAATATGATAATATTTCTTCAGGGAGTGCAGTTAGTTACAGTGTGGGCTCCATGCTTACTCCACCAGCTTGTTGGACCATCACAAAGGGGCTGGGCTTAGCGAAACTGATCTCAATGTAAACTGTAGAATTTAACTGCTCTTACTTCTCTTTCAATGCAGCAAATGCCTTAATGTTTTTCTTTAACTAAAGAACCTTTTGAAGGGATGCTTCCCAATACTGTCCCTCAGCCTTGAGTGTCATACTTAAGGAGAAAATGTAAGGTGTTTTGTGCTCTTAAATTTTGTCTCTAGGGTAAAAAAAGTGCATTAATCCATTTTAAGTCTACATCCGAGCCCCAGTGGAAACGCACACGTTTACTGTATCATGTTACTCAGTAAATCATATTCTCCTTATAGTATTCTCGTTAATCTCACCTGATATCGGTCAGAGTGGGCGTCCTCTGATGTTCTAGGCGGCGAGGTGGGAGAGCCTCCTTCGCGCTTGATATGAAGCGAGAGTGAGAGAGACTGGACAGAAAAAGAAGAAAGAACAGAAAGTCAAATAAATAATTCAAGCTAGGTGTTGTCTTTAGACTCATGAGGATATTAACTATTTACCTTCGGCGTCCTTATGAGGTGGTTGTGCTGCACTGGAGTGACACTGCGGAGAAAAGAGGCAAACGATGCAGAAGCTTGTACGTTAAACAAGCTCGGAAACAGGAGCCACACACACAAATCAACTACACTGTGTCCCTATAAAATACACAAACACAATATTGTCTTTTAAATGTCATCTCGTAAATACCCGCTGCTTTTATCTTGTCTGAATTTGTGTCTCAGTCTGTGTGTAACCTCATTTTACTCTTTCTCACTTTGTGTCTATCACACAGATACTGTACACACACACACACACACACACACACACACACACAGTGTCCCCGCGGGCCAAGTTCAATTTGAAACCATTACTGTCCACGGAGCGGTCGTTAAGCAGATTTGGAGTGTAATGTCTTTATTGGAGGAATCATTCTTCTGTTCTAAGCAGCAGGTAATGTGTGTGTGTGTGTGTGTGTGTGTGTGTGTGTGTGTGTGTGTGTGTGTGTGTGCACCTTTGGTCCCCGTGTGTATGTTTTAGACTGTGAGTGTGTGTAGGGCTCAAAGCAGCCATTAGCAGGACATTATCCACCCGCTGTGTGATTGGTCGCCTCGAGGCCGGAGGCTGTAATATGAAATATGTAGGGAACAATGAGGCAGCTTGTAAACACTGCACGCAGGTGACAAAGGAGACGGGAGATACCACCTGAGGAAACGAAGCGGGGGAGAAGGGGGCGTCCCTCCAGCTACTAAAATCTGTCAACGTTAATTATCACCTGAAAGCTGAATGGAATAGAAATTCTGGAAGGAAAATGACAAATGGATAAATGGAGGAAGTGGAATGTTGGTGGAAAATGGTTTGAGGGAGGAGGAAGTGAAGACGTGATTCTCAACAAAGCTGTGAGGAGATATCTGGATGAAACCACTTGATGGTGTTAAATAAAAACAGTAAAAGAAGATTTACTTATAATGTCAAAGAAGTGAAATCAGATCTTGATACCTGATTTGTATCTGGGCAAGTTTGGTCAGCTCCTGCTCCATGTGCTCCTGCAGCTCCCCTGGTCGCAGGATCGTCTGGCAGACTGGACACACCGGGGCCTGAGCGTCATAGAGACCCTTCACTTTGCCTGGATAATAAGGAGAGTAAGAGGATTAAAAGAGGTGTTCGCAGGCAAAATGTATTGTGATTTTTCCACATTGGCTAAGTCTTTGAGGCCGTGAAAAGATGATCTGCACTACAGAGAATGAACTGTGGTGATGACATGGAGAGTTTTCTTTTATCTTGTAACTGTACTGTTTCGAGAGCTAAAGTGAAAGTGAAAGCCAACCTGAGATTCACTTTTGTTTGGCGTTTCTTCTCGCTATTTTTGCTGGGGGGGTTTTTGACGCTGTTTCTTGGATGCCTGCTGCTTACGGTCTGGCACCTGGTCACTACCTTTTTATAAAGCCCTGACCTCACCTGAGTGCTGCTGTGGTACAGAAAATAAGAAAATACATGCAGAGGGTGCATTTCCCCCTCTCTTTTTTAGGAAAATCCTTAAGATGATAAAATTGCTGTTTATTTAAATGGAGTCTGGTGGGTTTGTCTATGGCAACTTCAGGGTTGTTTCTGATAAAATAAAAAAGATCATACTCTTTAAGAAAAAGGTTTATCTCTGTAGGGATCCTTTCCATAAGTCTAAGACACTTGAAATAATAATCTGAACAGCAAAAACAAGACCTTTTAGTGGACACAAAGTAACGGTGCACAAAAGCCTCGACTGGTTATACTGCAGCCTGTTTCGTTGTTGTTGACTGCAGCGCTCTCGTTCAATACTAGAGCAATTTAAAAAACTGTTGTTCCCATTAGTCACGAAACAGGGTTCAAATACATTTACATTAAATCAAAAAACAAATGTAAGTACTTTTTTTATTCAATTGTGACTATTTTTTCTTTAATAGTGAGAAGTCAATATTTGACAAAAGCCTCAAGCTGGACTCAAACTGGGGATGTTGCCACTGGACCACCATGACACCTCCGCTCATTAAACTCATAGTTAGCGTAGAATTTCTGTAGATGAAAACAGCCTTCACTATGTGTGTTTGTGTTTGTGTGTTCAGTAGACCTATCTGTACTATTGACAGACAGTGGCAATGAGAGTAAAATAAGGTTACACACACACATAAACACACAGGCGCACTGCTATGGCCCCCTGCTGTCAGTGTGTTGACATCATAGGCTGTCAATAGGAACATTACCCAGGAGGGCCACTCGGCCCATTGGGCCCCACTGATGGATTACTGCCATAAGCAGCCAGCTGGGAGCCTGAGGAGCTCTACTATATCAAGATTTTACCTAGTAGATGAGGTGATTTACTCCTGAAAGCCATCAATCACACACAGAGAGCTAGTAGGCAATATGCACCTAATTTCCCATCTCTGCACAGTCAAGGGAAAACAAATGACAGCACTGGCAATCACAATTTAACACTTTTAAATACAGAACATAACAAACAGATTAATATTTGTGACAGCTTTCCCTTAATGTGCAGCAGGCTGGACTGAACTTCCTCGAGGACCCTATTATCCAAACACCGGACTAACTTTTCCCCAGCTTCACTCCAAATGACCAGCAACGTGACAAGCTCAGACGCCGATGTCTGTCGGCAAGTGCCGTCCCCTGACATCAGTTGAGCTATGAGCCCCCATAATGAGGAACCAAATAGGACAAAATGGGCTCTAAATAAAACATGGGGTGGAAAATAGAAAGCGGAGTCAGGTGTCCTTGGGAGAGTGACAGCTCTCCTGGTTTCACCCCCTTCTCTCGCACTCTCTCTCTCGCCTTTTTTGCATCCCCCCGTGGAAGCCTAAATGACTTTTCCCGACACGCATCGAACGTTCCCGGGCTTTCTGCGCTCTGCCGCCCGGAACATGCAGGCATCAGTAAACAATGAAATCTCTTGGCTGAAATTGAATTTATAACCACATTACCTGCACAGATAACGTCTCTGAATGGCGCCGCGATAAGAGCAATGGGATTTGATTTTCAGGTGTTTTATTGGTCCACTTTTTGGATAAGCCCCCCTCCTCCGACTACAGCCGCCCCCCCCACCCTTCACCTCTGCTCCACACAAACATCAGATTTAATGGTGTGGCAGCGGGCATGTTTGGATGTATGGATGAGTGTGTGTGTACGTGTGTGTGTACATGCTTTTGCTGAAGCCTGACTCGGTGCTTGTGCTGCACTCTCATAAGTGACAGTTGCTGGTTCATGACCACCTTTTTTACACGTCTCCATCCCCCCGCTGCCCTCCGTCCCCGCCCACATAAACCCTGTCAGTATCAGTCAGCCTCAGCCCCTCTTCAGCCTGGGGGGTCTCAGACACACAACAGGGGGCTGTAAAACCTGCCTGTGGGGCTTGTTAACTGTTCCCTCACTACGGCAACTGGCTCGGATGGATTGGCGCTCTCTCATCGGGCTGTGTTGAGTTTGACTGGCTCATCTCCTAATGGATTCACTGTCTCTGTGTCTCTGATTGTTTCCTTTTTCTGTCTTTGTGTCTCGCCAGTTCAGGACCTCCTTTCCTGGATGTCTAGTCTTTGTCCAGCTGCCGTTTTGCTCTCTTCACTTACTGTTCCCACTTGGGAGCGTGCTGCTTTGGCTATATTCAAGTCTTGTTCCGATGAAACAAAATGAGAGAGGCATAATTCCATTTTTACACGTATTTTGTGGTGGTATGTTGTGGATTATCATGGAAAATGAATACATTTACACAGCATATTTTCAGGAAGGAATCACAAAGATGAGCATACCCAAACACACCTAAATACAATCTCTAATCTCCCCATGGATTTGAAGAGAACACACCTCTGGGGCAAATAACCCATCAGAGCGTCACGATATGTCTCTGCCCCGTCCCCATTATCAAGAGCATCATGAGATAGTAAAGTTCATGTTTGAAAGAAAACAAGATATCCCCATCCTCCTCAACCCCCTTTGTATGATTGATGGTCAAATCCACTTTCCGTTGTTCTGCATCAAGATGTGGACTGTGACTGTCCCACGCTCGGCGCTGGCCACTGCAACAGAGAGATCAGAATCCCGCTGACAAATCCTTAAAGCATCGTGTCCCCCTGAGGGCCTGGGTAATGGCCGATGCCAGCGCCCATATGACGGCTGCCAGTTCTGCTGATGCAGACGGAGCGGAGATGCCTAACGTGACCTTTAGTGAATGCCACATCACATCAGGCCTGGATGTCACCCGCTGACATTATGCTGGGGCATGAAAAGGCTGTTCTGCAGGGGAGACATGGTGACGAACGTCCCCCCGGTGACAAACCTGTGGACGTGGTCTAATTCTGATTGACGCGAAGAGGATCGGACAGCTTTGAATGGCAGGGGACGTACGTGCGAGCATCCAGGGGAGGATGTGGAGGATGTGGAGACTGCTTAGCGTTGGCTGGGTCTGTTTTTCTCTGTGTTCGCTGGTGATAAAGTGCTGAGACAACTCACTCCAACTGGCATCATTATCCCAATCATCAAACAATTCTCTAAGCACATCAGAAATCCCTCTATAAAGTCATAACAAGCACAGACTCTATATAACCAGTAGGCATGTAGAGATTGGCGGGGGGAGTGAAGTTAACGCTTGGCGGCTAACACTGCAGTGGTGGGTTGTGTAGGCAGGTCCTTGGCACACTTTCAGAGGAGATGGAGGGCTATAAAAGCCATTGGCTCCTGCCACACCTGTACCCCACCCTATCCCGCGGCCTGCTTCCTATTTAAAAGCATCACATGCAGGATATTAGTCAGGGTTTTTTGCCGTCTGTGAGGTAGAACTAACCTCTGAAGCAGAGGGGGGAGAGGGGAAAGTATGCAAGCCGCCGTTTGTTTTTTATTGGGGAAATAATGGCCTATTGAGAGGTTGGGTATTTAATGAGCAACATAATAGGCCCTGTAGTAACACATCTGCTATGAGCAGAGTCATTTCCTCAGCTTTCAAAGGCTGCTGCTCCAGCCTTTGAAACAGCGAGTTCAGTTGCCTTTGACTTAGTATGTCTAGATATCTGCTTTTTATTAATTGCAGAATTGCTACACCGGTAATACACAACATACAATACTGCCGCTGTGCTTCATGTTCAATCCTAACCACATTCAGCAGCCGATGGAGACACACTCCCTCTCCTGGCTTGACCTCAAATCTCTCACTGTCCAATCTAATTCCAGCATCCTTCAAAAATATCCCTCCTACTCTGCAATCAATTGTGTTTAATGTATTAAAGACACTCACCACAACCACCGCAACCTTTGGCCCTTGCACAAATCAATGCCTCGTTAGACCACTAATGATCATTCATTGACTAATAAGATCTGTATCAACCTCTTGTAGAACATTGATTGGCCTTTGGCCTCTGTAGTGCTCTGTGCATTACGTGGACAGCGGCAGACGGCAGCTGTAAGTCCTGGGGAGTCAGATGATGAAAAAGCTCCTGGTGGGAATGGACAGGAATCCTAAACCTCAAATAGACCCATTCTGAAGCACCTCAGGCCAAAGCCCTTTTCCTCTGCCCTACAGATCAATGGACATATCCTCTCTGACCACAGGTCAATCAGCGCACAAACCCTCCCGATTTCTCTCCGTCCCCCTCTCGTTCTTCCTCTCTCTCATCTTCTCCATTAGTCACTACAATTGTTCCATCAGGTGCAGGCGTGGCTCAGCATGTATGTGTCCAATCATCTCGTTGATGGAGAGTGGACTGGGTAGCTGTGTGACTGTGTCCCTGTGACCATATTTCCCTTCTCAGGACCTGAGGGCAAAGATCGAACCCTGCCTCCGCCTCGCTCCAACCAATCAATCTGGCCCTCATTGAGATGCATGGCTCAATGATCTTTGATAGTGACTTACAGATTGGAGAGAGGGAGTGGAACTCAGGGGGGAAAGTTAGGACTGTCCTTGGGTATTTGCGGTGATATGAGGCTACTTAGGAGCCACCTCATGGGAAAATATCTGCAGGTCTAAATGCTGTTCAAGTTCTTTTTCTGTTTCTTTTGCAACATTAATGAACACAAGAGGTCTTCACAGGACCACTTACTCAACCCAAGATCTGAGTTGGATGGGGTCCACATTATATTTAGTGTAACTGGGTT